AGATAGATAGATAGATAGATAGATAGATAGATAGATAGATAGATAGATATGTTTCTTTTTGTTTTGTTTTTTCCCAAATATACATGTATATTTGAAATCAAAAAGACTTGTTGGTTTTACAGATTTTATGCTAAAATCTGGTGTGTTTGTAACTGAGAGTCATTCACAACACACACTCAGAGTGCCTAAAGATTGAGATTGATCCCTATAGCAAACTTTGCGTCTATTGGAGTCACCGTACTTTGTCTGTTAGCAAAACACCTTCTAATCTACTGGATGGATTTGAATGAAACTTTTAGTGAGTAATCACTGGATATCTGTCTAAAAGTGATGAACCTTTGAAATAAAAACAATTCAAGATGGCCGTCACAGTCAGCTGACCACAGAAATTGCTTTAATTTGATCCATCATACTGACATTATGCTGGTATGGTAGCTGAAAGTCATTTTCAAAATATACTCCGAGGGCTACCCTGAAACTTAGGCATTAACAGGTTTTGTCTGCAATGTTTGTCTGTTAGTAAAATAATGTAAGCTAAGCTAATCAGCATTAACCAACGGAAAAGGATCATAGCTCGATCAGTTTTACAGATATTGATTTAACGTTTGGTGTGGTAGTAGCTGAGAGTCATCCCCAACACATGCACAGAGAGTGAGATCTTTAATGCTAGGCGTCTTCAGCTCTATTTTTTTGTTTGTTTGTTTTAATTCAAGATGACCTTAGCCTAAAACTCAGGCATGCATTACTTCAAGGATTTAATTTTTTTTTAGATATACAGTGCAAGTTGTACAAGAACAACTTTCTGACCTTTACATTTTAACAATAAGTTGAGCCCAATTACCAATAACAAGTTCCACCAAGATACAAAGAAAAGGCCGTGCTGCTGTTCATTAATCATCATCTTTCAACAATGTAGCTGAAGGAACGAGAGCTGAGAAAACCTTCCTGGCAGGACGAAGTGAGGACATCATCACCTGTTCCCCGAGGACGCCGACTCACACAGACGTTTCTATTTCCCGTTGAACGGCTGCCAAATCATTCCTCCCAAACCAACTCAATCAAGATGAGACAGCTTCATGCTTTTAGTGAGGACATAACAGATCCAGATCACCGTTAAAGTCCGGCTCCTGCAAACTCGCCCTCAGTTATTGTCAGCGCCGGGACGGTGCACATACAAGAAGTGGCTCTGCAAATATTTTAGAGGCGTTCTGGGCCAGCTGAGAAAATCAAGGCTGGATCAAAAATGAGTTAATATCTGTACCTGCTGTGCTCTGTTCAGTGTCTCAGGGAAGTGGGGGGTAAACATGCTTGGGGAGGGGGTTTCTTCCCATCCTACAGCAGTTACTGCAAGGAGAGCGCTGCTTATCTGGCTCATTTAACATCTTTTCTGAGCGTTATAGCCGACCAAATGGGAATAAAAACCTCCAAAGCTGCGTTTGACGCCGGGTGAAAAAGGCTTGGAGCACATGTAATGTCCTCTCCCAAGAACAAGGCATTCTGTGCAGTGTTCGGTTTATTTTATCCTGTTGTGGGCGGGCACCTGCTGTGTAAATGGGTCCGGGAAGTCGGTGAAAACATGCCTTCTGCTGCTCTCCTCCACAACTTCTCTCAGCTGCGTTGAGTTGTCAGCGTGGGCTCGAAAACATTGTCGTCCGTCGAGCTCTTAGTGCGAAATCCCCGCCGACTCGCAGCGAGCTGGTGGGAGAGAAGTTCACGACGATGGCGGGACGTCATCTCGGGATCATTTAAGGAGGAAAATAAAAGACCGTTTGTTTTTTTCTCCCTTTTTCCTCTTCTGCAGGCTTCCTGAGCACTGGAGACCAGTCTGCGAAGGGGAACTATGGGTTGTTGGATCAGATCCAGGCGCTGCGCTGGCTCAATGAAAACATAGGCCACTTTGGAGGAGACCCAGAGAGAATCACCATCTTTGGCTCCGGAGCTGGTGCCACCTGCGTGAACCTTCTCATCCTGTCCCACCACTCCGAGGGTAACGTCTTTTTAATTTCACTGGTTACCAGAGGACGTGTTCTGGTACAGGTCATGTTGTCACCAATTCACCCACTAGATTGATGTAATTGCACTTTTATTGTCCCCCGTCGTGGAGTGAACCTACTCCAACTCTTTGAAACATTGACTGAAAAGTAACCAGAGGTGCACTCTTGTGTAGATGTCTATTTTGTTATGGCGTCATATCTTTATTGTAATTTCATGTTGTGTTACGTGTTATATAGATGATGTTTGTATTGTCCTCTGCTCTTTGTTTTGTGGGTTTCTTGTTCTTACCTGCCTTAGGACAACGAATGAAAATTAGCTGTTGTGCTAACTCTGGCATATTTACATTGATGCTTACTGCTGACATGTTGATGGACACGCATTGTCCTAATTTAAATAAATAAATGAAATAAATTAAGAGGGGACTTGGAAATAACCTCCGTCCGGTTCATCTTGTGAACTGGATACCTTAAATAGTGAGGTACTGACTTCCATTTTTGTTTGTGGCTGCATCTAGATGTAAGAAAGGTCATCGAAAACTGGGTTGCCACGTCAAAATCCAAGATGGCCTCCACCATATATATCAAAGATGGCCACCACCTTACATATATGTAAACTGGCTACTCTGATCATCAAGTGTATTTTCCTCAATTGGTTGGAGTGACGGGCGGCTGGCTCAGTTGTTAGAGCTGTTGCCTCTCAGAGAGAAGGTCGCTGGTTCAAATCCCAGCCTGGAACACTTCTGGGTGGAGTTTGCACGTTCTCTCCATGCATGTGTGGGTTGTCTTCAGGTATCCCGGTTTTCTCCCACAGACCAAAAACATGCATGTTAGGCTGATTGAACCCATGACCTAAAAAGGAAGAAGCGGATAAAGATAATGGACGGATGATTGGGGTGACTGAAGATTAATCTATGGTGGTCAAGGCCACCATTGGCCACCCCCTAGCTCCACCATTGCTTCTGGTTGTGGATAAAATTGCTCCCTCCACTTGCCAGGATCTGTCACTCTGCGCTGCCTCAGATAGGCAAAAAAATAAATGAAAAATCTTCCTATGTTCTTCTGCACATTGTAACTCCTGTCCACTGGAATATGTTGCACCAAAAACATTCAGGTTTATTTACATTCCTGTTTCAATTCTAGTCCAGAAAAACACTCATCTCCAAAACTACAAACATTCACTGTTTAATTTCTTCAGCAGCTGTGGACATCTGCATACCACTTGTTTATTGGCTGAATTGGCTGAAACATAAATAACTTGTGCTGTTTGTTATGAGCCAGATGTCAAAGACAAATCTCCATTTCATGGAATGTTATGGACTCTTAAGTTATATTGATTGAGTGATAAATCATTTTCAATAAGTTGCTAATCCATAAATCACTCCTGCAACTGTATGGATGTGCTAACAGTTTTATAATGCTTTTTTTTTTTTCTTTCAAGGAATACAGTACACAAATATTTTCACAAGTAGGCCCATTTACTTTAATTAATTGTTAAAAAAAATTCCTAGCATCATTAGTTTTTTTTAATAAACATAAATTAAAAACAAGAAAAATATCACTTCCTGATAACTGAAGGGATATAGAGGTGTCTTTATCCACAGTGCTGTGCAGATTTGCAGGTAAATATTGTTAAGTTATTATTTTAAGTGACTGAGTGACTACAGTGATCAAGACGTGACTGATAGCATTCCATCCCTTTCTTTCATCACTACAAGTTGTGACAAATTTAGGAACCATAAAATAGGTTTCTGATGATAGCACCAAAAAAATACTCTAAAAGAGGAATAGTTTTGTGGCATTCTAGGAATCTAAACTTTGACTTGTATGTCCACAACAGTAGTCATGTTTAGTTTCAGTCCCCTTCAGTTTGATGCACAAAGTTTATCTTTGGCCCTGTTCAGGCTTCTTTTGGTTAACCAAGAAACTTTGCCTTATAAACTTTCGTTTTAGCATTTTTAGTCTCATCCATAGGCATCGCAACAATTATACCTGAAGGAGATATTAGTTCACTCAGCTCAATTTCTATTTCTTAATGAATGGATCCATTCCACTTTATTAATAGGAGAATACTCATAGCACTAAAAGTCTACTCCAGGTTTTCTTGGTTACCTACAACAACTCACCACACCGGATGCAGTGTTTCGTCTAGGTCACTTGGCTTGGCAGGGCAGTCACAGGGGAAGGAGGGGGGAGACACCTCTGTATTGCTCGTCGACTTAGCTCCATTAATGCTGGCAGTTGTTGACCAAGTTTGGGTATTGCGGGGTGGGGGTTGGGATGCATAAGAGAAGTGGAGCATGCTCTATTCACACAAGGAGAGCTGTTGGTCAGGCTACTTCTTATGCCGTGCTCTCTAAAATAGTTATCAAATCAAGTGTTTTCATATGTAGGTAAATGTAGATGTTTAACAACCCATTAAAATACACCAGAATGTAGGAAATGTTATCTACTTTCAAAATTTTCTGGGCAAAGATACCCCCCCCCCCCCCCACCCCCCACCACCACCACCAGTGTGTCCCTCCCACATTACAAATGCTTCTGAATCCTATGGACTCATCTACAGTATTTATCAATGAAACTTTTCACAGTAGAAGCAAGAATTACCAGGACTATTTATACTATCGAAGCAAATAAATACAACTTTTTGCATTAAACTGGGAGCTTCAGAGCTCACAAACACCCACCAGATGTTTGATGCTAATCTGCTGATGTGACAGCAGCTATCTGAGCTCAGAGAGACGGAACAGCATTTCAAAGCTTTCCAAGAATTCAGGTTATGTTGTTGCTTCAGTGTTAACCTTCACACTGTCGGAGGGACCCTGAACAGATTAACAAAAATATATATCGCCACTAAAAGAAGCAAAGAGAACAAGGTTACTTTCTGTCACGATTCAGAAATCATTCAGTAAGATTTGGAACGACTTTTCAGAAACTAAGTAGCATTTGAAAAAAAATTATAGCCGCAGTGGGGTTGCAGCTTACACATCCTGTCTCTCTTTTTTTACTCAAAGTAAAAGGCTTTCATTAATGTGTTATAAATATATTGTGTTTTAAGACATGAACGACAAAGCAGAAAGGGGATGGTCATTGCAGGGTCTTCGGGGCTGTATTAAAAACAGAGTGGGTCCATATTAAGGTTGAATGATCTTCTGAGCATGTAAATACCTCCACAGTGTAATGCTAGTTTATCAACAGGGTTGTTGGTGGAGCATTGTGGCTTGGTTGTGGAGACCCTTGAATTACCTTAAGCAGAGTAATCAGTCGCACATTAATTTTTGTGTGTGCTTTTATTTATTTTGGTCCAGTCCAGTGGTTAATTTGAGCCGGATCCTGCCGGAACAAGATCCGGGAATTCTCTCATTTTGACCCGTTGCGTTCCGGCAACTCTTTGCTCGGATCCGGCAACTTTGCCCCTAACAGTCCAAAGTCATTACGCATTTTTATTTTGATTATTTATTAAAAAATACAACAAGAGGAGACTGTGCCCTTAGCCCGGCGGACCCAGTCTGTGGAGTGGATGTTCCAGCCGCAGCATGTGCGGTGCACCATCTCGCTCACACGCTCCTTCGAGGAGCAGAAGAGGAGCCTCTAGGCAGGGGGTGCTGAGGACGGAGGGACAGATGGTCACATTTACACATGGAAGTACTGTGCGGAGTCCCTTTCTCCTCCTCCTCTCCAAATATTGTCCCTACTCAGCAGGGCTGCACACTGAAAAACACCCCCTCTCTCCTCCTCTCAGACCCCAGAAACAGAAACAATCATTTATTCAACAGAATAAATAAATTCCCTGTAGACAGTGCACAGTATTCACAGCATCTCCAGACAGCTCTACAGAGCGTGCACACAACATCAGCAGGTGTCTGAACTCCTGCTACATTTCAGACATAATGAATGAAAAAAGCTTACTGTAAAAAATAAATTAAATATACAAAGAGAGAAATGTTTGATGTGTTATTCACATTATATGTCACGTTTCAAAGCAACGGCGCTAATTTGTCAAAATAACAACAGCGATCAAAATGTTAAAAAGACAGTCCAATTTACTTTAATAAAAAATGGATGGATGGATGGATGGATAAACGAGAACTGAAGCCTTCAGGTGCTTCAAACGGTGCCACGAGACTGAAGCAGGAGGACTGAATTCAGCGGAGAAGAGTTCAGCTCAGAACCGAGAAGTGAAGGGGGTTAGGACACCTGACAGAATCGGAGCTGCTCTATTCAATTCAATTCAATTCAGTTTATTTATATAGCACCAAATCACAACAAAGTTGTCTCAGGGCACTTTACAGAAACATTCACAGACATAAAAGCCAATTAGTAAAGTTCTCTATCTAAGGAATCCAGCAGACAAGATGAATCTTGGCTTCGTTGCAGTCTCCCATCCTGAGCAAGCACAGTGGCAACAGTGGAAAGGAAAAACTCCCTTTTAAAAGGAAGAAACCTCCAGCAGAACCAGGCTCAGGACAAGCAGCCATCTGCTTTGACCGGCTGGTTGAGAGGACAGGAAGGAGAGACAGACGAACACAGAATGATAGGTCCAGGTGTATCTGAAAGACAAAAAAACACATGTTAAGGATAGAAAAAATAATTACAAATACAAAACAGGTTGAGCAGAGTAAGTAAAGACAGTAGTAGAGTGAAAACTGTGGTCAGTTTGTCCTCCAGCAGTCTAAGCCTATAGCAGCATAATTAAGGGACAGCTCAGGAAACCCAAGCCGACCCTAACTATATGATTTAGCAAAAAGGAAAGTCTTAAGCCTAGTTTTAAAACTGGATAATGTGTCAGCCTCACGGACAGAGATTGGAAGTTGGTTCCACAAGAGAGGAGCCTGATAACTAAAAGATCTGCCTATTCATCCTATTCACACACAACCTGCTGTTCCTTTCCAAAATAGTAATTTCATTAAGTGTTTACAAATGTAGGTAAATGTAGATGTATAACAACCCGTTAAAATACACCAAAATGCAGAAAATGGCATCTCTGTTATTCATAATTTTCTGTGAGAGGACCAATGGACCCCCCCC